TCCCATCAGCGAAGAAAAGAAAGGCAGCCGTCAGACGTGCACCATCACGATTCACCAAGTTCACTTTCTAAAACGGTTATCATCATCGGGCTCAGAGGTGGACTCCTTGCTTTGTAAATAGTCACCTCCAACTACTATGAATCTGTTCAGTAGAAGTCCGATTAATGTGTGAGCACTCTAAGTACACGGTTACATAGTAATAACAGATGGTTTTAAGAGTGAAAATGCAAAAGCCTTGCAAAAAAAAAAAGTGTTCATATTCCGTCTTTGATTCTTCCTTTCCCAGGAGGGGAGGCAAAGCCTGTTTGAAATGGAAAGGAGGTCTTGGTAGCTGTTTGGATAGATGTTCCGTTACCCAGCCACTTAATTAGTGTTTAATTGCAAATCAGTGTTAATATATCACCCCTGACGGGGGAGGACAGCCTTGTGAAATGTGCTTGGTTCAGTGGGATTGCGACACTCCCTCCTCCTTTCTTTCCTTGAGCCAAATACGTTCAGAGTGGGCTCCTGAAAATGTGCTTCAAAACTTAACTTTGGCTCATCCAGAAGCAATTTTGCTTTTTAAATTAAAAAAAGTTCTGGGGGTGGGGGCTATAGTTCAGGGTAGAACGTGTGCTTAGCATGCGCAAGGTCCTGGTTTCAATCCCCAGTACCTCCATTAAATAAATAATTAAACCTAATTACCTCCCTCCCCCCAAAAAGAAAAGAAAAATAAAGCTATTGGGAGAATGACCGTGCACAGTGCAGTACTTCCAGTACTTTCCTCAGGGTCAGGTAGAAAGGACGCTGTTTTCTTTAAGGAAAGTCTAATCGTTGTGAAGCAACACTTAGCACTTTGATGAGCAATCAGAAATCCTGCATCCATCGCTGGACTGTTTCCAGCGGCAGGTGAATGTCCCCACCTGCCCATGATCCTGCTGGAACCGGCATCAGACTTGCCCTCCGGTCACGTCCGGCTTGGTCTGCCCTCCTTGCCGACGGCTCCTGGTCCAGACTCAGCTGGGAAAAGCACAAGGCCTCAACGTGGAAATTCATTTCCCGGAAACTAGGCATTTGAGGACTGGAGCGGGCTGTCCTGAGTCAGCCTGGCGAGGACCTCTCGTAAGAGGTTTCTTCAGGAGATTAAAAAAAAACTACATTCCAGGCCCCACTATGGGAGAAGGAGAAGGGGAAGAAGGTGGAGGCGCTCTAGAGCGGGGCGCAGAGCCGTGCAGAGCAGGCAAGACCTGTGGCCTCTGATGTACAAATAGAGAAATTCGGGTGTGGAGAGGTTGTGGGGCCAGTGTCAGCTCCCACAGGCCCGCCTGGCTTCCAGTTCCGCTCCTGCTCCAGCATCAGAGCTGCTCCCCCCACCCCTGGCAGGTCCCGTTCCTCCCCTGGCAGGTCCTGGACCCGTGTCTGTCTTCCTGGGGTGGGGATCCTGGCCACCCGCACAGGAGGAACTCACGGGAGGCATATTCAGTTTTAAACAATCCTACTGAAGGCATTGCCATTGTTTTAGCCAACAGAGCTGTCATTTTTGCTACCATTTTCCTTGGTTTTGAAAATCAAATCAAATAAGGCTGTATTTTTTGGATGGTCAGGAAGTGGACCCGTGTTCTGCTCCCTAGAGGACCTCAGAAATGCCTGAAGTGGAACTCTAGCCCGAGACCACTGTGGACCTCTGACACTCACTTTGAATGAAACATTTAATAGACGTGTAGATTTTAGAGCTGGAAACGTCAAGGTTATCTGGACAAAGAGGAAACAGAAACAGTGGTGAGTGGTGACAGCTGGACAGCAGAGAAGGGGACAGCAAAGCTAATGGCCAGACGCAGGACTGGCCGTGCCTCACAGCCGGGGTTGCTTTGTGGAAGGACAGACAGCCCCACGGTCCCTGAAACTCTCAAGTCATCCCTGCACTCACGGCTCAAGTAAATGATTCATGATCATGATGACATCTGGCCATTCAGTTCGGTGTGCATTATTCCATTAGTAAACACACAACTATCACACAATTATAAAAAATTAGTACAAAAGAATGACTTACTGTGGGTCTTCCTAGCTTGAGATTTCCTCCTTTGTTTCTCACAGGATCACACTTGGAGGCAGACGTTCAATCTGTCACTTCTTTTGTCTCAGCTGGTAGGATGCTTTGCACATGGTACAAATAGCTTTTTACAAACAGTGTTTTTAAGCTTACATTCTGGCAGAAGTCAGACAATACAGAAGTAAACAAAAGAGTGCATCCTCAAGAGAAAGAGCCCCTCCTCTGGAAAGATGTCTGGCACCACCGAGGACAGCAGACACAGACCGCCTGGGGCAGAGCAGCGAACAGCAGGGGACCATCACCCCCACGCGGACCCCCTACCCCAAGTCCCGTGGGGTGCGGCTCAGGTGGAGACCACACAGGCAGTGGGTTGACAGGCACTCAGTACCCGGTGTGCCCGGCAGCTGCAGGCCACTCCCCTCCCCGAGGGAGGGGCCGTGACACCAGCCCTTCTGTGGTCAACTCGACCTACTTATTGAATGCCTTTGAAGGAGCAGAGGTGGAAGACAGATGGGTGGACGTTATGAAGACTGAAATGCAGAAAGCAGAGTAGAAGAGCAGGACAGAGACCCCAGTGGCTGTGGGACAGTGTCAGCAGGTCGGAGGTGCATGTTACTGGAGTCCCAAAAGGAGAAAACCGAGACGGGGTAGGTGTGGGAGTGGGGAAGAAATATTTGAAGAAGCGATTGCTGAGAATTTTCTAAAGTTATGGCAGACACCAAACTGCATTAACCAAAGAGCTCAGAAAACACCAAGCAAAACAAGTACAAAATAAAACAGAAAACCAAGGGTAGTCTCTCCAATGAATGGTGCTGGAAAAACTGGGTATCCACATGCAAAAGGGGGAAACTGGACCCTAACCTTAACCCATACACAAGAGTCAACTTCAGGTGGATTAAGCTCTTAAACAGAAGACCCGAAACTATACAACTCTCGCCTCGGGCTGTCTGCAGCCGTGACCAGGGCAGCAGGATGACCAGCAGCGGGTTTGCTAGAGCAAAGAGACGGGCTCCTTTGCTGGCCGATGGCCGCTCAAGGTCTCAAGGTCGCCCCAACCGTTTCCTGAAATGTCTCACGTGGGGGTCTCAGGTGTCCCACCCAGTCTTCCCCTCTTTCTCCTCAGGTGGGGTCAGACGCACCTGTTCTGCAGGGTCTTCCAGGCTGTCCTGCCTTACTTCCTATTTCTTTTTCAAAAAGGCTCTTTCTTGATGACATCCTTGTCCACTGAGTCCCAGCTCGAACTGCTTTCCAGAAGATCCGACCTTCGCTGTGTTAGAGGCTGGAGCTAGTTTGGAACGGAGGGTCTGAGCTTGGTGATGCTTTCCAAGGGGCCAGTGGGGAAGATTTTCACCAGGGAGTTTAAGCTGTCATCTTCAGATGTAAAATCAGAAGGGCCAGGCAGTGGGAGAGTGTGAACAGAGGGGCTCCCTGTGTGCCCACGGGAGGGTTCCTCGCCGGGTACCAGGCTCGGTCCTGCCGTCCTGGAGTCGGCGGTCACCCTGGGACCAGTGCGGCAGGGCTGACGGTCGCAGGTGAAGTGGTGGTGGCGGGGAGGTGGTAGCGAGTTTGTTCGGGAGGCAGGGGAAGGGTTTGAAAAGTGCCCTTGTCCAGGTGGTGTTTGAGAACCGTGTCCACCCGCAGAGTCGTCCTGCTGGACACTCAGCTGCGGACACAGCCATCCCATGCCCCCATCCTCTGCACCCTCATCCCGGGCCCCTGACCTCCATGGGCTGCACAGGCCCAGGGCCTCGGTTTGTGGCCGCAGCTCCTGCAGACAA